TCCACTTACATTAAAACTCTTCCCACTTACAATATAGTTGGTACTTGGCCCCTGATCCAACGGAATTGAGGATTGCACCTGATTTCTTCCCAACTGCCACGGAATATACTTGGTACTACTTTTGGGAATTACTACTTTTGGGAATTACTCTTACAATTTCACTCCACACCCACATTTCCATTTCAATTAAAAACCCTTTCAATCAACTTCCTTCTCGAACCTCTCTAATTAGCTTCACAATAGAACATGGCCGTTTACAGGCATGTCATCAACACCTGAATTTCAAACTCGCAAGATTGCAACGGAGGAAACATCTGCTAATGAAACGAAAAGGACGCCACCACGGTCCCGCACAAGAATTGGAACAGTTCCAACAACTTTGCGCCGAGGAAAGAGAAATCTCACATCAACTACGATGGATAAAATCTCGACTACATCAACTCAAACGCCGCGCCAATCAAATTAAAAGTTTCGGTACTATTTATTCATTTAATATTGATATTCTTTTAATATTGAAAACCTGATCATATCATGAGTTGTGCTCATGATGTGACTTATGTAGTCTTTACCCCAAACTCTTAATATGGTAACATATTGTAGTACCATCAATTTTGATCACGAAAAATAATACTACTATTAATTATGAGTTGTGATCTGTGGAGTTTCTTCGTTACTTTGAAATAAGATGTTCAGAAGGTTGACATTAAGAGATTACTACTAGCGGGTAGGTTCGTTTTTTGTGTTTTGGGTTTTTTTTTTTTGGCAGATTTGTGTCTTACTGCATTACATGTCCTTGGGCTGTTCAAATCGGGATAAAATCATGCCGTGTCCAAACTCTCTCCGGATAAAATCTTACATATATATATATATATTTTAAAAAAATGTTGAACTCTGGAAAAAATCCTATATTTCTTAAGCATCAAATAAAATGAATCCCCCAACATACTCGAACCTTAGTTATATATTTAGTCGCAAAATTGTCTCAACAGCTTGTGTGTGTGTTGTAGTCGATGGATCCTAGGAATGAGGTTCTAAAAAAATTAAAATTCATGTCACATCTTGATTCTGCTATGCATGGGCACAATCCAGAATTAGATGGTTTCCATTGTTTATAAGAATCAAGTTAGAAGTTTCGCCACTATTTATACTTTAAATATTGGTATTTTCATTATACTTACAATTATTAATAATATTTCTAATATTATAATATTATTATTGTTTTCATTGTTTATAAGAATCAAGCCGGTATTATCTATTCTTTATATATTGCCATTTTCATTATAATTGCAATTATTAATAATATTCCCAATATTATAATATTATTGCTGTTTCTATTGTTTATAAGAATCAAGTTAGAAGTTACGGTACTTATTCTTAAAATATTGGTGTTTCCATTGTTATTTCAATTATTAATATTTTCCAATATTATATTATTATTGTTGTTTTCATTGTTTGTAAGAATCAAGTTAGAAATTTAGGTCTTATGTATTCTTTAAAATTTGGGAATATTATTGGGATTATTATTGTACTTCTAAGTATTAATAACATTCCGAATATTATAATATTATTGTTGTTTTCATTGTTTATAAGAATGTGGAAATAGTACCAATTGTTTATAAACACTTTAATAAATGCCACCGCAAGCTCCCCAATGGCTTTGTTAATATTTTACATGTTAACAAATAGTACTAAAAGCTATTATTGCAGTGGTCAATCCTAATGAATAGGATCACTACAATCTTATCTAATATCAAAGGTTAACATAAATATATTGTCATTTTTACTACCAAAATTGACAATTTGTTTGAGGCAATAATTAACATAATAAAAATATATTTTACTATTCTAAATGTTTAATTACATATCATAAAAAATATAGTGACTCAAAACTCATATGGTCGAAATCATGCTTCACATTTCACATCGAGTTCACCCACTAAATAATGTCTCAAACATAAAATATTATCAACTACTATCATAAACATTACCAAATTAAGGATAGATTTTCTCAAATCTTACTATTAAATACACATATTACCATTCATTAATTAAAAAATAATATTTTATAATATTATTTTATAGTAAAATATTTTAAATTCTTCCATAGATTGTAATTTTTTTTTTATAATGTAAGCACCGTGCGTAGCACGGGTATTCACACTAGTATCCTTAATTCCTCATCAGAATTTTAGTACAATTGAATTTTAGGTCTACATGGCAGCAATGTTGATACGAGAACTTCTTTCAGAATCACATCAACTTCTCAAACTTCAAGTCCCTAACACAAATGTGGAATTAAAATTCCCTATTCTAGCAACTTCTAGCTATCACTTCTTACCCCTTGAGCGTTTCTCAATTTGTACTTTGAGCTTAGCGTTCAACTTTTCACATGACTTGGTTGGTAAAAAGCAAATAAGAGAGATCTCTCCACTTTAAAATCCATAAAAGCAATTAAGATTTCATTAAAGAGTGCCAGGTGGGAATTAGGAAGTTAGGTCAAGGAAGTACTCTAAAAGCAAGACAGAATAATAAATGTAAAAAAAAAAAGTGCAATTTATTTGTAATTCACACATAAAATCACTAGTGTTAAATAAGATTGAGATTCCAAGAGTTCAATTAACTATCATCCACTGCGAGTCTATTCTACCTATGTTTTAATTTTCATCATATTATTAGTGACTTATTAGGTATAATGTTGTTGTTTAGTTATAATCTATCTTCATCTATTGATCCCAATATGATTTTGTGCACTTAAATTTTTTTTTAAAAATTAGTGCCTAGTGTGCCTTGTTTGGATTGCCATTTTCTGCCAGAAAATTGCATCGTTTTTCGTGATCACATATCCCTATTACTTTTTTTCTTCAAATACATCAAATCGCTAAAGTAAAATTTTTCAAAAATACGGGAAATGCATCCAACGGGACCGACGGAAAATTTTTTTTTGATACACTACTTAGAAAAAGGAAAAGATGAAATAAGATCAAAGGCAAAATCAAATTAATTACCTAAAATTTTATTGCCTACTAGTCTTGGAACGAAAAAAAGAAACCATACTACTTTCCCTTTATTTTTTCCTTTCATTTCTTTTTTGTGAAGCCATACTTAAGGGAAGTGTTCTCTCGTCGTCGTCACAATTCAGGTTGTGAAAATCTCGGCCCGACCGCGCCTGCCCCCAGCCACACTTTCCCCCTTTTTAGTCTCGCCGTCTCCCTCTCTTAAACCTTTTCCTCACCCCTTCCTTCTTTCGTCTAAATTTGCTCTCGCTATACAACGTTTCTCCCTCTAGAATATATTATAGATTGTGGGTGTGAATTGACAAAATTCAAAATAAATTCTGAAAAATGGCGGAGTCTTCAACTTCCATCTTGGCATCGACGGCGGCAGCTGCACCGGAGGAGCAAAAAGGCGGCGATAATGAAGAAATGATGCATAAAACTAAAGTCATTCAATTCTTGGGCGAACAACTCCCATCATTCTTCAAAACGACAATGGCCCCTCTCTGCTTGCCATCTGTAAATTTCTTTATCTCGATTATATATATATTATTTTATTGTTTTTGTGTTTTTTGGTTAATTCTTCTCCCTCTGTTCACAGAGGGTTTTAGGCTTTACATATTTTTGTGAATTTTACTGGTAATTGTTGCAAGAATATGTTTTTTTTGTTCTTTTTCCCGTTTGGAGATGCTGTGTTGTCAAAATTGTGGAACATAGGTCTGAACAATAAGTATGGAATTAATTTTTGTTGTTTTCTTCTTCTTTAGAATTTTAACATGTTTGAATTTTAGCTTGGAATTTTTTATTTTTGCCTCAAATGAAATCCATATTTCAAGATTTTGAGATCTTGGTTTACTCGCTGAGTGAGGAAATAATTAGGTTGAATGATAAAGTTGCATTATCAATGAAAAAGATTTGGAATTGTATGTGGATAAGTATCAGCTGAGTTGTAGGTTAGTAATTATGGATGCCACTCGTTTTTTTGACAGAAGCAACTTATAGGTTACATATAGTTGAAGCAAGAAAAAATTTTCCCGTTTAGTTGGGTCAAGAATGGCATGTAAGTTTCAAGATTTGAGACATAGGCATAGGGTTTGAACAAGGAGTTAATTTGATCAATAATATTTCCAGTTTGATTTCTTAACTTGACTTGATGATAGAGGTATTTCTATTTAATTGTAGCTGGAAATAATAGGCCATTGTCTCTATAACTGGAGCCAAGCCTTCCTTTTTTGGTGGAAGAAGAAGATTTTTGGTTCATGTTATCATGAATAAAAATTTTTTTGGTGAAAAGTTTTGTAGCATGTCGTTAAGGTGTTTTTTATTTTTTGCTTTTGCATAGCGTTTCTTTGTGAATGGTCAGTTCTTTCTGCGCTGCTATTTTTATTTGCTTTATGCCATGGTTTCTATTGCACTTCTGTTGGTTAAGTACATGGTTAAGGTGCTAAATAAAAAATAGAGCTTGTTCCTATTTTTCAGCCTTTGACAATAGATCCGTGGTTTACTGGTTAGTTATTTTAATCAAGAAAGGTTAGGATACTAAGTCTGTGGATATTCATGATTCTGCCATGAGATTTGAGCAACTTCTTTATAGTGATTCCATGTGTTACATGATTTTCTTCATAGGAGTTAATTTTAGAATGTCTAGCAACTACATCATTCTACTTCTTTGTTGGTTTTTTTTCTCTCCCTTGTTTTTTAAATTTTTTTTTTTTTATTTGGGGGAGGGGTGCTTTTGCTTGGAATGTCTTTTTGGTTTTTATGGTTAATTACAAGTTTTGCTGATATAATCTGTATGGCTTGTGTGGTAGGTAATGTTCTTCTCTTAAAGAATAACTTGAGCTTGAGTCCAGATATTCCAGAGGTTTCACAGGAGAAATTGCTTTCGCTTGTTGCTGAGCGATTAATCGACTCAAATTCCAATATCAAAGTAACTTCTTTCTGTTTCATTACATTAATTGCTATTTGTTTACTTTTTAATTGTAACAGCTCCATTACTGTATGATTATGGATAAAAATTTGGAAATAAATAACTTGACTGAAAAGAATTTTGTGTTCTCTATTTTTGAAGGTTGTTTGTTCTTTTTGTTTCTTATTCTTTATAATCCAAGTGAAACCATACAAATGTAAGTTCTCTCTGTTGGTTTTGGTTCAATTTTGGACAAAATGCAGGATACGTTGAAAATCAGCAACAAAACATTGCTGATGCCATTGATTTGCTTCCTAGACTAGCAACTGGGATTGATGTAAATATAAAATTCAGGAGGTAAATGATGGCCTTTTTTATGTCTATGTAGGTTTACTTACCTCTTCTTAATTTTTTTTTTTTAAAAGTTGCACTGTCGTGTATCTAATGCATTTTTATCATTCAGAATTGCTGATTTTGAATTTACTCGGGAATGTGCAATATTTGATCTACTGGACATTCCACTCTACCATGGTTGGATAGTTGATGCCCAGGTATTTGTAGGTGAACTTAAAGCACTTTTTCCTTATATAATTTAAATCTGTATTGTGTGTAATTTGGAAATGCAAAGAGCAGTTTTCATTAGTTTGATTCAAGATAGATTAAAACCTGAAAGTGAGTTTAGACATCAAACTGCTGTTTTGTTAAGAATTTCGGTATATTTGGTACCAATTACATGAGTGATTAGCTTTAGCGCTAAAGTTAGAAGGTGAAACTTTCCATTAAGTATTCTCCCATGCTGGACATATCTTCTCCTGAAGATTTGGAAACTTTCCAGCCTTCTGTAAAAAAAAAATGTATGTTTGGAGTTAACATTGGAATTGCTGATTCATTTTCTCACATGTACAATCATGGATTGACTGTCACTGTAATGCTGATTTCTAAAGTGATTGCACCAATACATTGTAAGATAACTTTGAAAGTATTCAGGGCAACGAAACTTGATTAATTGTGTCCACATTGCTCCAGGAATGAGCTATGAACAGCAGGGTATTTGTATTCTGTGCTTAATCTTTTGAATTATTGCCTTGATCTAGGTTCTGCTTCTGATTAGTGTAGAAATGGTAGTGTAAGCTTCGTGGATGAGATTTTCTTGCAGATGCTTTTCAATTTTTGAAAAAGGGAAATTAAGAACTTGCTGATACTAGTTTTCAGTATCAGCACAAAAAATTAATGGTTACTGTACTCAAGGTTATCTTAGTCCAGACATTTATTTCTTTATGGCACTCAAAGTGGACAAAAAGGGCTAGTTGTTCTCTTGGCATGCATTTACCTTTATTCACATCTCGATTTGCTATTAAGTGTGTCTCTGCTCGCTTAATTTTTGACATTAAGCTTCTCAATTTTTGCTAACATATTACCCATACTTTCTTTCCTGTCGCTTGTCAGATTGTCTCCTTTCTTTTTAATGCCTTTTGTTTCTGCAGTAACTTACTCCTTTCTATCCTTTCTGGAAGGATTTGTTAAATTAATATCTATGTGAGCTTGAAGCATTGTTTGTCATGTCTACCAGGATGTTGATACTGCAAATGCAATAGGCTCCAAGTCATATAATACGCTTATGGGGGAGCTTGTTGCCCTTGAGACGCAAAATATGGAGACACAACATAAGAAAAATTCTGAAGAAGATTGTGTTGATTTTGCTGCTGCGACAACTGCAACTCTTGGAGTTCCATCTCCATGCCTCTCAAGAGGTAGATCATTTGATGATGCTCCTATTTCTCTTCCTGATCACCACATAGGAAGAAAAGGAGACATTGAAGAAGAACAAGAACTGATGAGAGTCTTGAAATTGTCAGAGTCAGAAGTGCCTACTTCATCAGCCGATGTTCCATCTGCTAATAAGCCAAATCATCTATTGTTACAGAAGCGAGTTCAGATTTCAAGCAGTCTGACCAGTTTCTTTAATTGGAACATTAGAAGAAAATGTGTTTGATGGAAGTAAAATGTCTTGTCCTGATGAAGTGACAGTTTCTAGCAATTTTGAGACCTCAAGCAATCACGACTTTGACCCAAGAGGTTCTGAAACAGTTTGGCAGGATGCTGTATGTTTGTCCTCAAAGACAGAGCCGGAGAGATCTTGTATCAAATCAATTTCAGGAGAATCTGAATATAATACTGTGGTTAAAGTTGTTGAAGATTGTGGTAGTAATACCTTGGTCAATATTGGAAGTGGAGCTAATCAATCTTCTTCAACGGATGCTTCTTCTGCCGCTGGAACTAATGTACATAAACCTGGAAAAGATGAAGACAATCAGACCTTGTCATCTTCCATTTATGAAGTTGATGAAGTAGAAAATGAGCGAAATGGTCGTGAAACTTTGATCCCTTCAGTTCATTGACTCATGCTCCCTGTACTGATTCATTAAATGACAGAACAGATAATGTAGATGAACATCAAGTTTTTATTTCCAATGTTGATACCGGTGAACCTATTTACGAAGGTGAGGAGAGCATATTGGAGTCAACAGATACAACCCATCAAAACCGAGAACCTATGTACGAGGGTGAGGTGGTCCTTGCAGAACAAGGAGACAGAAGTTCTATAGAAGTTTGTGATGCAAAGAAAGATCAAATTACTACTAAAGAAGGTAATGGAATGCTCCTGACAGATGGAGTGGTCTCAATTTTTATTGCACCACTAAGACATGCATTCTTGTTTCCCTGTTTTGCTTCTGCTCTCCATCCCCTCCCTCTCTCTGTTATGGTGCAGAATATATTTACTTAAGCTCTAATTAATTTTCTTTAGGGGAACTGATTCAGAATTTTTTGAAGAACAGTGCTAGTCAGTTGACTATATATGGGTATGTTGGTTTTGTGGTTTTTTTTTTAACAGATAATCAATATGTTTTACTTCAAGGGAGGTAAGAATTGGAACTTAACTTTGGTCTGATGCATTTTGTGTCTCCTGCAGCCTGTTTTGCTTGCAAGAGGGATTAAAAGAACGTGAGCTTTGTGTTTTCTTCCGGAATAATCATTTCAATACCATGTTCAAGGTCAGTCTTTGATGTTTTTATTGTAATGTCTTTCACTATTACCAATTTCAGCGTACAACAACTTTTATGTGATACTGGAATATAGTTTCCCCTATATAAGTAAATTTGACTATGCTTCTTGACAGTGACATCAGTTGCTCTTGTACCTATAATGATGTAATGTGCAGTTTGAAGGGGAATTATATATTTTGGCTACAGACCAAGGTTACATCAATCAGCCTGATTTGGTTTGGGAAAAGCTGAATGAGGTAGGGGGCTGAGACTGTTAGTAATAAATTTCTTTTTATCTGACTTCATGGCTCATTCTAATCATAGCCTCAAAGATGTAAACGTAAGATAATATTGAATTGAAGTGAACCTTCTTTTGTAATAAAACATTACCTGCTGAGTGACTAGAATACACATAAAATTAGCATGCATTAAAATTCTAATTGATTTTTCTTTGTTTTTTAAGACTTGATTTCTAGAATAGCAAATAATACCCTTGTCCTAAAAAGCCGCAAAAATGACCAGATCCCATTCTATTGTTAGTGTTATACTGTAATGTGAGTGAAATAGAACCTGAGTTTGTTATGCCATTACCATATCAAATCTTTTGGTTGACATTGATATGCAAACTGCCACCTAGATGTACCTGCTCCAGTTGCTTTTTAAAGTTACTTTGGCATTGTATCTAGGGTGGAGTACATTTGTTAGTTCTTTTAAGTTGTTCCTAGGAAATAACTTTAGAGCTCTCCTAGCTGTATGTAGTGTCTATGCTTGTGACTAGGAGGAGATCTAATGTCCAGTTTTATACTGGGGAAAGTAGTCAATTATGTCAACATAGTCTCCTCCACCTTCGAGGAAAGCAAAGGATTGAATGTCCTGCAAGCCACCTTCAAGATTAATTCTAATTTTGAGATTAAAGCCTTTACACTCTAAACTGTTCTCTCATGAGATGCATGTGTGCAATAGAAGCAGAAAATAGAGTAATTCATTCTGTGCAAGTACTGGAACTTTTGTCAATTTGCATGTTGTATTTGTATCTTTTCTGAGTTCCAAGTGTTGATTCGATTAAAAACTCTCGAGAGTCCTGACCAAGCTTTTCCTTTTGAGCTTTTATCTGAAAGATCTGTGTGTGCAAAAATCTTTTCACACAAGCATCACTTGTTTGGTTGTCTGTGATTCCATTATTTAGGTAAATGGGGACACTGTGTACATGACTGGTAACTTCAAGGAGTTCAAGGTGGAGAATCATGGCAACAACTCATGGGATGAACAGAATGCTATGGCCAGTACTGCTGTATGTAGTTTTGCATTTTTGTTCTGTTGATATAGCTTTTGTAGATTGCTGGTGTTTCCTCTATTGACTTCTTTCATCCCTTTCTTTTTCCTAAACTGAATTGTGAATTCTTGTGCAGGACTACCTAGCAAGCATGGACAATTCCATGCAGGCAGATTCAAGTTTCAAGTAATTATCTGAACACCGTACACTTTTTACCTTTTTCCTTCAGAATTCTTAATCATACTTTTGTAGATTTGGTTTAAGTGGACCTTTCACTTGGATGATCTGTCTGTGTGTCTATGTGCGAGAGTGGGTATGGTTTGATGGTTGTGTTCTGTATATTTGTGTTTAATTATGCATCTCCTGGGTGATGCTGGACCTTTGCTCCACTTATTTATGCTGATGAATTTGATTGCCATTCCTTTTTCGGTTCTTCTATGGTTGTGCCTTAGTTGATTACTACTGTGACTTGATGTTTATCAATTTTGTCCATCCTTGAATTTAGACTTTGAGAATATTGCTTTAAAGGTTTTAGTAATCATGGGCCATTTCTATTTTCCTTGGAACAACTATAGCAGCATCAAGATTAGGAATTGGTTGACTTTGTGGCATTTTTTTTTTTTTGGACTAGCGGCTTGAATCTTTTATTGCAGTTGTCATTTTGTGCTTATTTTTCCTGAAATGAAAGGCTTACTGGATTTCTGTAGTGTCTTCTCAAACATATTGTGGTTAATTGGCTCATGTATCTATTTACTAGGTAAAAGAATTTGTGAGGGTGATATCTTGATCTCAAGGTATGTATTTTGCTTTTGACAGTTCCGATTTGCAACTGGCAATTGCCCTCCAGCAACAGGAATTTGAGCAACAGACATCACAGCGGCAAAATAATTCACAACCACCCTCTGTGGGTGGTGGTAGGTTGGTTACTGGACCTCAGGTACATTATAAAATTCTCCTCCTATTTCCTACTCCTTTGAAAAATTATTTGAAAGAGTTTGTGGTGATTAAGAACTTCTATCTGCTGTTCTAGATTGTGTTGACATGATTTAGCTCAAGTTAATGCTTTGACTTGTGGTCTTCAACTTGTGCCAAAAAGTAAAACAAGCTGCAATAATATGGATTACTGAATTTCCTGAGAACTAGTCAGATAATTATGAAGGGATTTGCAGCTATACTTGTCATTTGTTTTGTCACATTTTTGCGCCTTTTCCTTCTGATCTTATTGGCAGTAATCACCAAATTTTCTAATGAGCTTTGTCCAAAATGTCTCACAAGGTTGTCTTTAACTTCCCTACATGGATCCTCTCTTGCATATTTGCTCTAATTAATGAGTATGTTGATGATTAGATATGAAATCACCTGGTAAAAGGAACTGTTACATGTGGATGGATGATTGTGTCTTGTAGGTTCCAAGGAACAGTGGGAAGTATGCATCTCAATCTCAATCTCAATCTCAATCTTCCAGGCAGCAGGAGACAAAGTCATCCAAAGACAAGTGTGTTGTGATGTGAAAATTTGCTAACCACAGACGACAAGACACTCGTAAATATTTTGTTTTGTAAATACTATAAAAACATGTATTGTCCTTTCAGGTCTAGTCTTCTCTCTGTCTCTCTCTCTCGCCCTTTGTAAGTAAAGTACATGACACCACATTTTTGGTCTCGGCAAACAGAAAAATTTTTTGTCTTTTTCTTTTTCTTTTTTTGGGGGTGGGACCTAAGCAGAACTTCTGTAGAATCCTATTGGCAGATTTACTTTAGATTGAGATTTAGTTAGTTTCATCTGTTACGTATGTTTTGCTGAACCATTCTAATTGCTTTATTAGACTAAACAGATATGTTTCTATTTACTGGCTTGCTTACTAGTAATCAAATCCAACTTGCTAGCATCCGGAAAAACAATAAAAAAAAAAGAAAAAAAAACCCAAGATAATTGTATGAATTTGGTATCGTAGGTTCCAAAAATCATTTCTCTGGAAAATATTTTAAAAAAAAAATAAGTAGTTTTTATATGTCTAGAATTTGGTAACCTTTTTTTTTTTTTTTTTTTTTTTAAATTTCATAAACTCACGAAGCACATATGACATCCCAAGCGACGGTGGCCTTCATTCATTGCTGAAGAAAAACTTTTTACAGTCGAATCAACATTTTTTTGAGAAGAAACATAAAATTTTTTTTTACACATCCATTTTGAGAGTTTTCAAGAATTTGATCAACCAACACTTAGGCAAAACACGATTCTAATTCTGGTATGAGTGCACGGTAAAGTTTTTTCAAGTTTTGCAAACCAATAATAATATTGGTCGCGAGACATAATTGCGGTATGCTAAATTTGAACATCCCAAAACATGATTCATTGCATCACGACATAATTTTGGATAGAGCTTTTGCATAGATATCGTATTTATTGGAAATTTGCATATTAGGCAATAGTATATTATTGTCCCCAATAGGAGTACAGGTTCACTTTTTTCCATATTTGATGAAATTTTCTCAAGGGGGAAAAGAAGTTAAAAAGGAAAGGAAGATAAAAAGACAATCTCTTCTTACGGTTGTACCTATATATATATATATATATATAGGAGTTGAAGGGTACGATTCTTTCATAACCAAAGATTTTGGACTAGAAAATTCTTGAGGGATTATAATAGTATCCCATTTGAAAATGGAAAAACATTTGCCAAGTTTTTGCTTAGTTTTTTTCCTCATATTTTCATCAGGTAAATGTGTTGCTTTCAAAGTTAGAAAACCAACCATTTTTGGTGATAATAGTGAACTCTCTGCGAATATACTTAGTGCTCTTTTTTGTCTTCTTCTTTATAGATACAAGAATTACTTAAATCTGATTAGCTAATATGTCTATTGCCCCGTACTCGAAAAATGTTGCAGTTAGCGGAACGCTGGCCATGGAATCAACAGGTTCTCCAATTACACAAGCAAGAAGATGCAGTTCTGTGGTGGGCATATGCAACTGGGAAGGGTGCAATTGGACGCGTTGCAATGAGCAGTGTAATAATGCATATTCCGGCCGCAATCCCAAAGCTTTTTGCCAACCAGGAGTATGCAGTTGCGAATATGATTGCTGGGATAGTATTCCTCTGTTTTGCATGCATGAGAACAGAGGATAGATGATATTTATGGTTTATTTTTAAAATATTTATGGTCTGAGGTGCTATCTGCAATGACCAATGTAAGAGTATGCAGTTGCGAATGTGACTGCTAGGAAGACAGAGTACAGATAATGTTTATGATTTATTTTGCAAGACAAAAGGGTCTTTCTCTAACAGTTTTCTCATGTCTTATTTTAAACATCCACAATAAATTGAAAAAATACCAAAAAGCATAAAAATACATTAAGACATACCTAAATTTAAAACACACCAACCAAACACATCAGTACCATGTTTCTCCTAACTCGCAACGGATCTTCTGTCTCACATCCTATATCACTCTCTGTCCAATTTTTTATTATATTTATATTTCTCCTTCATAAACATCATGTTTTAGTTCTTTTTTGTTTCTTTAAGATCTAATAACTATTAATTCAGCAATACACAAAATTTAACAAACTCAAAAAATCAAAATGCATAAAAAACGAGATTTTTTATGAAATTTCTGCTGTATTTTTTAATTTTCTATTATATATTATTTTTTTGAAACTGTTGTATTTATTTTTTACTGAATTAACAGTTATTAGATCTTAAGGAAACAAAAAAGAACTAAAACATGATGTTTATGAAGGAGAAATAGCAATATAATAAAAAGTGGGACAGAGAGAGGCACAGGATATGAGACAGAAGATCCGTTGCGCTCCTAACTCCTCCCTATACTCGCCTTTTTCCCCTTCATCTTCTCTCTCATTTTCTGTATCACTCTCTGTCCTACTTTTTATTACATTACTATATTTTTTCATCCTCAGAACATGAGCTATGTTGTTGGTTACGGCATTAAATATCCTTTGCATGTCCATCATAGAGGTGCATCCATCCCTCATAACGGCATTAAGTACAGTTGCACTGGAGGATGGAAATGGAGGGATACACCAAAGGCAAATCCAAATACCATTGTTGGAGCTCTGGTGGCAGGTCCTGACGAGAATGATGGCTTTAAGGACAACCGGAGGATGATGAACTACACGGAGCCCAGACTGGCAGGGAATGCTGGTTTGGTTGGTGCTCTTGTTGCCCTATCAGGTGATGGGAGCATACGAATCAACAAAAGTAGTATGTTCTCATTTGTGCCAGCAGCAAAGTTTCCACCTCCACCACCGCCCCCAACTCCTTGGATCCACTAATAAGTTTAGTGTTGCATTTGTGAAATTGAAGGTCACATTTTATTGGTTTTTGGACTGACCGACCCAATATCATGAAAATCTCACGCAATTGTTCAATCTTTTTGCCATCACTTTCTTGATCTTGCTCCATTAGGATGCTATATCTCTAGGATGAAAGAGAAACTACTGCCCGTCACCATTTTTCGACTTAGAAAATTTCTGAAAATAAATTTAGAAAATGAAGGTTAAGAAAATGTTCTAAACTATAAACCATCCAAATCTGCCAAAGTTCCCAAAATATTGTCTGAAACAAACGGAAAATGGACAAACTTACACCATTCATATTACTTCTATACTTTTGTCAGTAACCAAAACACTGCACAAGCTCAACCTATAATTACTCAACAACGCCAGCAAGAATATATGGCACTGGGAAGCAAAAAAATTGTATACCTAAGGAAACGGCATGAGAAAATGGAAAATGTAATGAAGATTCTCGCTTTATGAAACCAAAAAGAATTATATAAACGTGGAGAAGAAGACTTTGAATAGTCTAAGTACTTGTCTTGAATGATCAAGCACAAAGAATTTGTAGTTCATGTTGATCTCCCATCCCAACCAAGAAGCAGATCTTTAGTCTCTGGAATAGCTGAGTAAAGAGATACATATCATCTTCCGTTTCTTTCTTCGTCTGCATATGCGTAGAGGGATAATTTTGTTCAAGTGTACGTGTGTTGTGTTGCCGGAGGGGGGGCCAGTCATATGAGCTTTAGAATTTAGGTATTACCCGCATGTATACATACTGAACAAAAAATGGGGAGAGAAATTAGTAAATGCTAATGACTTCATCCTGAAGCATTTTCAGCAGTTTAATAAGATCATATATTTCACCATAAAGGAATGTGGAATTCAATCTTTAGAAAAGGGATAATGAACTCAGCCATTTCTTACCTTCCAAAGTTTCAGAGTCATAATTTATTTGTCCTATTTTTCCCACATTTCACGAAGAAAGGAGAATGATTCAATCTTCAGTATGTAATGAGAAGGTGGTTTGTCTTTAAATGATCCCAGAATGCCTGCAAAATAAGCTATCTAAGGCTGCATTGGCAAGACTTGTGGGGTAGAGAAAGGAGCGGAGCAAGGGAGAATTCAGTGAGGAGGACTGGGTGGGACAACAGGCGGATGAAATTTGGTAGGAAGAATTGGAAGAATTCGATGTTTTTGCGGTGGAAGAGAGAAAAAACTATCGCATCTGAACGGAGAACGGGAGGCAGGCCAACCACTATATGGGCCTGAGAAGGATGTAGCACAAAGGTGTTCCATTGTTCTTGGGCTCACTACAATTTATTTGTAGTCAATACCAATCGTTCGGGTGAATGGAATGTTGCGTGTAGAGGATGATATCTGCCTCACCATCTGTATATAGGCCTGTTATTAGAGCCCCTTACATGTCTAGCACTCTAGCCCCGTTTACAATTTCTGGTGTTTGTATTGAATAAGGATTTAAACGAGTCTAATCAAGTCGAATCCTCTAATATTCAAATTTATTTGATTATTTTGATCATTTTCAAATTTTATTCAAATTTGACTTATTTATTTGCCGAACCGAACTAGAACTAGCTTGTTATCGACTTTGATAGGGCTGTAATCGAATCGAACTGCTTACAAGTAGCTCGCGAGTAGCTCGGTCAAAAACTTGACTCGAACTCGGGTTTGTCTAGTTCTAGTGCCTCGATAAAGCAAGCAAGTCGAATTCGAGTATCCAGAAGGATTGCTCGAAAACTCGCCGAGACTTATCAGGCTTTTTAATTTTAATTCTTTAATATATTATTATTATAAAATTACTCTTATACTCAAAAGAGTTATTGAATTTACGAAATGTTTCAGGTCGTATAAAAATTTTTAAAGGGCAATAATGTCTTTTCGCTCAAAAATTGTTAAAAAAAAAATGAAATTTTCTAATTCGAGCTTGACAAGGCTTACATTGACCGGAGCTTATGCGAGTCGAGCTAGAGTTCTGTGAGCAAGCATCGAACTCGAGCTCGAGCTCCAATAATATTACTCGCTCGAGCACGTTTCTTGCATGTCGAGTCGCGATACTCGAGTTCGGCTCCACTCGATTACATCCCTAGATTTTGAATGTTATCAAACATAAAACGCTGTTCAATCTTTATTTGACGAGTTGACAAAATCAAATGTGAACAAATTCTTACCAAGTCGAACTCGATTCGAGTATTAAATAGTTTGATTCATCCTTCAACTCTGTTATTGAATTATGAAAGGCCAACAACTGTAGGATTGAGTGAGTTTCTCCACAATTTCAGTAGTGATACCATGACTGCAGAATAAGGTTAACGGTGATAGATAGTAGTGTGTTTTCAAATTAAAGGGAGGAGATTTAATATTGGACGCAAATTTTAACGTGCCAAAATATTTGTGGTTTTGTACTTTATTGTGATAGTGTCTACATATATATTGTTATAACAGTGACTGCACAGACTGTACCGTGCAGTTGAAACCCATAATTGCAGAAGCCCTAGATTCGTAGCGCCAGTACAGGGAATAGAAGGACTGTAAACATGTTACCCGCTCTCAACATTTTGTGGAAAACTTATACGGGTCTAATTTTGTAACAATCAAGGCATGAACGTGTTGTTACCTCGTCTAACTAGAAATGATTCTCTAGTGCCATCCTTTCTGATGGATCTATCTCAGCAAAACTGTTGGCACTGTTTACATATTGATATGAAAATGGATCTCGTGACGATGTAATTTGCATTTTTCGTCCGTCCAAAATTACAGTAATTTGGTATGCCATCTTCCCTTTCGATGTTGGTAACTTGACATGCTCTGGATTTGCGTTATCACACGATTGTGGTGTGTTATAATTAAAAAGGTAGAGGTGGTAACATGTTTTTTTGGTACGTATAACAGGGAAAAAAAATCTTTTTTTTCCCAGTTTAAAAATCCTGAGTCCAGGACTGTTGTGATATTGCATGATCGATCTTACTCTGTTAATTATGTTGGTTGCGATTGTGTTTAATGCTGATTAGTCGGTGTATTGACTTTTTGGCAAGCAAGAAAATACTAGTAAATGAAGAAAGGAGAAAGGAAAAGGAAAAGTCGGGATGGATGAAAGGGACGCGACCCACTCTTTTTCTTTCTTTGTCCTGTTTCCATGCAAAATTTCCCCCCATCCTTCTTTCTTTCGGTTCGGAGTCTCTAATGCTTGCTTGTTTTTTGGGTTTGGGGACCGCTCCGAACCCGTCTCAATCTTGAACGCTAAGGCTCGGGAATAAATATGACAAGCCTACAGCAATGATGTTGACCCCACTGCATCCACGCGCCATTGCCTTAGTGGTTAGTTAGTACACTATCCGGCTCGGCTGTTTTCATCTTGGTTTAAGCTTTGCTAGCCTCTTGGCTCTTGTTCCGTGCGTCTCTATAACAGTTTGGATTGCCCATTTTTTGAACCACAAATTTTTCGTATACAATGTTATATACTAATACAGTAACAAAAATAATTTTAAAAATACCACATCTATATGGTATATTAAAAACAACTATAACTATAAAAACAATTAAAAATTAAATATACATCGTTTTTTTCTTCCATCTATCACCTCCACCCACTACCCCCTCCCCGAGTTGTCTGCAACTAAATCGAGGAAGGGGAGGACTGAGAAGGGAAGGGGTGGAGTTGTGGGCGGAAAATGGAGGGGAAAGGGAAAGAAGGAAGAAGGAGGATGAAGAAAAAAGAGGGGAGGAGGAGGAAGAGAGAGAAGGAGGGAAGGGCTGGTGGCGGTGACGGTAATGGTGGTGGGTGGCGACGGTGAGTGGTAGACTGTGAAGGGCTGTTTCCAACTGCAGTGTTAAATTTTCAATCACAGTGTTAATTTTTTAAAAATACACTAAAAGGTTTTTAAACTTTAAAAATATTCCAAAATATATTTCAAAAGCACTACAAAAAACATTTACAATAAAAGTTTTTCATATATATTATTACAGTAAAATATTTTAAAAACAACCCTAAAAACAACTAATCCAAATGGAGCCGTTGCACTAATATATGGGAAATTTAAAATTATAGGCGTTTGTTGATAGCACAAACTAAGAATGGCTCTTAGCCTCTTATTAATAGCTCTTCTATATGCTATCAAGGGATTTTCTATTTGGATTTTAAGGGCACACGATATAGACGCTAAAAGAAGACGGTGGATTTCACTGTTAATGCTTCAAAATTACTACTATTTACTCCTTAAATTGTAATACTTTTGCCAAAAAAAAAAACCCCTTTCCAGAAAAAGAAAAACACTAGATCGACCTACTTCTTATCGCGAGCTTGGCACCAAGTCAACAAACTTTGCTGGTATTAATTATCTTAATACTGCCAAAGAAAAGGTTCACTAAAGTTGCCCAAGAAATAGAGGTTAACCCATTTTGCGTGTTTGAACTGTACTCCAATTATCACTTTAATTCCTAAACTAAAGTTTAGGACATTTTATCCTAAAGTCTTAAATTGTCTAATTTTAGAATAATCGTTAATGCAATATACAAAACTAACATATTCACTGTTGCTCTTGAATATTCTAGTTTAGTAAATAAGGTAACCAATGTTTTTAAATTTGGAGCGAAGAGCGAATCGAAAATCCTTTCGTTTTGCAATTCGATCCTCAGTTCAAAGGTTTAATAAATTTATTTATTTATTTTAGCATTAAAAATTTTGAATAAAACTAAAATATTTATTTTAGAAAATAAAAATTTAATAAAAACCGATTGAAAAACCCTATTTTTTTTTTGTGGAAATTGGAAATTGGAAAAACCCTATTTATAAAAATTGCTAAACCATGTTGTGGATGGTGCAAGGAGATTGGAAGGTGTCGTCGTGATCAATAGCTAAGTTACTAAGATGTTCTTGCAATGTTTTAACACATGAGAAATTGACATTGCTATCACAACGAATTAAGAGGACCACTATTCCCTTCAAAGAAATTATAAATTTAAAAAAAAAACACACACAC